CCCTTAATACTCACTATTAGCATTGTGGTCTTTTTTTTCCCCCTTTTCAATATAAATATATGTTAACCATTCTCTTTATAATTTCAGAAAATTAAAAGAAGTTGGCGATTAAATTAAATGCATGTGCACAAGATGTTTCCCCATAATGTCCTCCCAACAATTCGATTGCCCTAGAACCCCCAGCTCTCAGTCTCAGTGACGGTACACCTGCGCGGTCCACACAACCTAGGAAAATCAGATTCAAAACTGAAAACACCGCAATATTAAAAAATATATAAATAGAATTGAGCAGAGTCTTGGCTCTGATTACCTCATTTAGTGCACATATGCTGCATTATTTAAAAGTCAAGTGAAAGTAAAATCCCCCATGTAATTGTTTTTTAAGATTTTATTTATTTATTTGACAGAGAGTGCAAGTAGGCAGAGTGGCAGGCAGAGGCAGAGGGAAAAGCAGGCTTCCTGCTGAGCAGGGAGCCCTGTGAGGGGCTGGATCCCAGGACCCCGGGATCATGACCTGAGCTGAAGAAGGCAGACACTTAACTGACTGAGCCACCAGGCACAAGAATTTGACATGCACCCTAATCCCTGGGTTCTGCCTTCTCAGTGTTGCTTAACTGGGACTGAAGGTGAACTGTTTTTATTTACGTTCCTACAGTAAACAGAAGAGGTCACTTCATACTTGCTTGTACACACACGCGTGCGTGCGCGCACACACACACACTTGTATTTTGCAGAGATAAGGGAAATATTTAATTTTTAAAGATGAGCAATGACATAATTAAGTGCCTCTTCTGATGCATGCTGTTGCTTTTGATTCTGCCTCCTCGAAACCTGCCAGCGCCTCCCTCCTTCCAGCCCGCTCTCCGATGTCCCAGGGTCTCTGATGGTGAATAATTAATGGGATCCCTAGCGTGTGATGGGGAGCAAGGCTGCCTTACTCACAAGTGTGGCCACTTACAGACTGAGTCATTTTCTGATTCCTCTTTGCAAAAATACTCAGACACGGCCGTCTTGCGCTGGTGTTTTGTGAATGGTGCAGAGTGTGTGTGATGCATTAGCCACATAAGTGAATGGTTGTAAAGACCCCAAACGGGTTCAAGAGCCTTTACAGTAAGCAGATTGTCTTCGCCTTTCTACAGAGCAGGATTTTTTTCTGCCCCGTTGGTGGAGCTCATTCAGGATGCCATATGGTGAGCCCTGCATTTAGGGTATGACATTTTGATTCACTTCTCTCTACATTTTCTTACGAAAAATGTTAAACATAGAGTTGAAAGACTCGAACCATGTACATCCATTACCCACCACCTAAAGTCTATGATTAACATTTTCTGAAACTGCTCTCTCACGTTCTGTCCATCTGTCCATCCCTCTATTCATCCATCAATCCAATATTTTCAGTGCATTTCAAAGAAAGTGGCAAGTATCTGTATACTTCCCCCTCACAATCTTTGGCATTCATGTTTTTTACTACAGTTCAATATTGTTTATATAGCATTTGGGGATAAAATCCGTATAGAGCAAAATGCACAACTCTTCATTAGACCATTTGGTCAGTTTTGACAAATAACACCAGTGTAATGAAAAAAAAAATCAGTTTCCTTGTGCCCCTTCCCTAGTAAACTTCACGCCTGACCCTGCCTCCAGGAAGCACTATACTGACTTTTTTCCCCCACCCGTCGATTAGAACGCCATATAAATGGAATCATCTTGTGCAGTCATTCTTTCACTCAGCATTATGTTTTGCGATTTCCTGTCACTCATTTCACAGATCAGTATTTCATTCCTTTTTATTGCTGAAGAGTCACTAAACCACAGTCGTCGTTAATCTGGTTTCCTGCCGATGGACACTTGTGCTATTTACAGTTTGGAAATGCTGTGAATGAAACTGCTCTGAAAATTCTTGGATAGGTTTTTTTAGACCTATTTCTCTCGGGTAGATATCTGAAAATAGATGTGCTGGATCGGAGGGTAGCTGTATATTTAGTTTTATAAGAAACCACCAGACTTCTTTCCAAGCGGTTATACCATTTTATACTCCAGCCAATAAGCTATGAGCGTTCTCGTGGCTCCGTATCCTCACCAAATACTGGGAGACTTTTTAAATGTTAGTAATTCTGCTGGGAGTGGACTGGTGTCTCCTTCTGGTTTTAATTCGCATCTCCCTGATGACTAATGATATTGAGCATTTTGTTTTGTTTTGTTTTAAGGTTTTATTTATTTATTTGACAGAGAGAGAAAGTGCACACAAGCAGACAGAGGGGTAGGCAAAGGGAGAAGCAGACTTCCCGCTGAGCAGGGAGCCCCAGGTGGGGCTCAATCCCAGGATCCCAGTATCATGACCTGAGCCAAAGGCAGACGCTTAACTGACTGAGCCACCCAGGTGCCCCGATATTGAACATTTTTAATATCTTCTGTTCCAATCTTTGCCCATTTTGTATTGGGCTGTCCTTTATTATTGAGTCATAGGAGTCCTTTGTGTGTTTTGGATACCATTCTCTCCTTTTGAGAGTGGGGTGGGGGGTTATGTTTTATAAATATTTTCTTCCAGTATATGACTTGCTTATTCATTTTTAAATGGTAGAGCAATCTTTTGATGAGCAGAAATTTTAAATTTTGGTGAAGTCTGATTTAGCAGTTTTTCCTTTCATAGTTATTGTTTTCTCTGTCCCATCTAAGAAACCTTTGCTTCCTCTCAAGGCATAAAGTTATTGTCATTTTTTTTCCCTAGAAGTTCCTTAATTTTAAACTTTATGTAGGTCCATGGTCCATCTCAGGTTAATGCTTGTGTGCGGTAGGAAGTGGGAGTCTGGGTTTCTTTTCACTCCTTGTAGATGTCCAGTTGTTCCAGCGCCGTTTGTGGAAAAGACTGCTTTTCTCATTATATTGCTTTGGCACTCTTGCCCAAAACCAATTGGATGTATAAGTATTACAAGTATGAGTGTATTTCTCAACTCTCTATGCTGTTCCATGGATTTATCTGTCTATACTGGTACCACAATGTTTTGATTACTGTAGGGTTTTTTCTCTCTCTCTGTCTTTTTTTTTTTAAGAGAAAGAGAGCATGAGTTGGGGAGGGGTGGAGGGAGAGGGAAAGAAAGAATCCCAATTAGGCTCCACATCCAGTGCAAAGCCTGACATGGGGCTCGATCCCACAACCCTGAGATCATGACCTGAGCTGAAATCAAGAGTTGGACACTTACCCCACTGAGTCACCCAGGCACCCCTTGATGACTATAGCTTTATAGTAAGTCTTGAAATAGTCAGTCTTGAAATTACCAGTGGTATACATCTTCCAGTTGTATTCTTTCTCAAGATTACTTGGGATATTTAAGATCCTTTGAATTTCCATACAGACTTGAAGATCAGATTGTTAATTCCTATTTTTGTTAAGAGATTTTATTTATTTATTTGAGAGAGAGAGAGAGAAAGATAGCAAGAGAGAGCACAAACAGAAGAGAGAAGGAGAAGCAGACTCCCCACTGAGCAGGGAGCCTGACTCAGGGCTCGATCTCAGGACCCTGGGATCATGACCTGAGTCGAAGGCAGACACTTAACCAGCTGGGCCACCTAGGTGCCCCCAGATAGTTAATTTCTATCCCCAAAAGCCTATGAGAACTATGGTTGGGGCTTTATTGAACCTATAGATAACATTGGGAAAAAATAACATATTAAGAATATTGATTCTTCTAATCCATGAATGTGGGATTTCTTTCCATTTATTTGGGTCTTCCCATCTTTTGTTAAATTTGTTTCTAAGTATGTAGTTTTATGCTATTGTAAATAAATTAATTTTTTTCCCAAAAGTTAGCTGCTATAGTGTGATTTGCTTCTGTGATAGGAATATTTGGAAGCCAGCCTTGCTCAGCATGATTTTCACATGAGAAGAAGCTTCTTTTTTGTTTATTCCTTCAAAGAGGCCACAGAGAGATGGAGGGGGTTCACCCCAGCCTGAGAGCTAGGGGACCAAACTTCTGTTCAGGTTTGCCTTTTACTGACTGTGTGGACCTGGCCAAGAATGGTTAGACTCTCTCCCTATTTCATTCAACATGATAAGGACATAACGCCTCATTCTTTGGAGTCTTTTAAGGAATATTACTTAGCTCAGTGAGTGCGGGAGCTGACTTCCCTTACTTCTGCATCTTCAGTACCCGGTACAGTGCTCGGCCCATCACAGCCACTCAGTAGATGCCCCAGCGTTCTGCCTCTTGGCCTCCTGCAAAGCTGACCCTTCCTGCTAAATAATTCCAGCTGCTCAGTTGTCGTGGAGCAGCCTGTCCCACCTTCCACCCCGTACAGCCAGTGTCCACTATTAGGTTACAGCAAGATACTGACCGATGGCTGAGCCACATTGCAGATAACCCAATGGCAGAGTCAGGAGACATCCTAGGAACACCCTGCGCCAGGGTCCAAGACCCAGAGTTTCAGGGGATTGCCAAGATCATAATGTGGCATACTTGTGCAAGGGCAGGTATGGATGAGGGCTGCTGATTCTAAATCCCCTGCCCTTAGTGGGGTTCTCTACGCAGAGAGGGGCTAGATTTCCAAATCCCTAGTATGAGGCCTTTCTTTCTACCACCACTAGATACTATATCCCCATGAGGGAGACAGCAGGGGGATAGTTTGGCTGGACCACCCATTCTCCCACCAAAATCCCTGCTACTCTGTTCCTGTTAGAGAGATCAGCCTGGCTGTGACCAGCCAGACAACCACCCTAGGTGTCCTGGACCCCCTCCATGACAGTACAGTGTGGCTGTGCAGACAGCTCGGCTGAGCACCAGCCCCACACTGGAAGTACCCCCCATCCCCCCACCCTGGCCCAGGGCTGCAGGGCCCGGGGTCTGCTGTCATCCCTGACACCGGCATTATTTCAGGCCCATCCCTTTCTCTTTCTAAGGCCTCAGATGGATGTCATAGAGAGCGCATGCGGCTCTTCTCCCATGATCCCCATGAGCAGCCCTGGCCAGTGACAGTGACCTGGTGTGTGTGCTTCTATCTACTAGGTGCTGAGGACATGGGCAGCAAACCGTCCACACCAGGCGGTGACCCCACAGCACAGTGCCCCAGGACAGAAGGCATTCATGCTGCATACAAGCAAGGAGACCCCAGCAGGGCCCGGCACCTGCTCCGAGAGGCTTGTGATGAAAGCACATCCCAGCTGGAGAAGGTAGGGTCGATGCTGGCTCCTCAAGCCAGACTGGGGATCTGGCTTGGATGAATGTTACCACTCAGATTATTTCCTTTGTTATCATCATAATCATAATGGGGATCTTTTTAACCTCCTTTCACATGTAAACATATGGTTGCTGGTCCTTTCAAACCAACTTCTGAACCTGCCACCATCCATGCACACCCTTTCACCTTCCCGGAGGACAGAGGAGTAACAAATGTGAACACCGAAAGGCCAATCTGAAGGTTCAACTTACTGTAGTCTTTTCACTTGTCTTCCATTATAAAAATAGCACATGCTCAAAAAAAGAAAACTTAGAAATATGTAAAAGTAGAGAGGAAAAGAAGAAAGTAACCTTATTCTTAATGCATCCAAACAGTCCCACTTAACAGTTTTGTTATATTTTCTCTCTGTCTGCTGATCTGTGCATATGTTGTTGTTTCTGATATAGATACAGTCATATTGTATATATAGATTTGTATGCTGCCTATCCTTACATAATATTATATCAGGCATTTCCCATCCGGTTATAAATTCTGTAGAGGAAGAAAGGTTTTTATACTTCACTTGAATTGATAAAACACTGAACCAGTAGAATTGTTAAGCTATGTATGTAATACCAGGAGCAACCACCTTAACAATACAAAGAAATACACTCAAAAACACCTTTGACCGATCAAAATGGAATTTTAAAAATGTCTCAGACCAAAAAAAAAAAAAAAAATGTCTCAGAAACCACAGAAAGGCAGGGGAAAAAAATCAGAAAAATGAAAGAACAAACAGAAAACAAAACAAAAAAATTGCATGACAGACTTAGATTTAACATATAAATAAATAGCTATATTAACATAATTAGTCCAAATACATAAACTTCAAGAGATTGCAGAGTATATTTTATTTTTTTAAGACTTTATTTATTTGACAGAGAGAGAGAGAGAGATCACAAGTAGGCAGAGAGGCAGGCAGAGAGAGAGAGGGAAGCAGGCTCCCCGCTGAGCAGAGAGCCTGATGCAGGGCTCAATCCCAGGACCCTGAGATCATGACCTGAGCTGAGGGCAGAGGCTTAACCCACTGAGCCACCCAGGAGCCCCTGCAGAGTATATTTTTAAAAAAACATGAGCAACTATAAGATGCCTATGAAAAACTCACTTCAAATAGGATAGATGTAGGTTGAAAGTAAATGGATAGAAAAAGATATACCATGCAGATATTAATCAAAAGAAAGGAGTGGCTAAATATCAGGTAAAGTAGACCTCAGGGTAAAGGAAATTACCATGGACAGGGAGGATATTTCATAATGATGAAGGGGTCCATCCACCAAGAAGACATAGCAATCCTAAATGCGCATGCACCAAACAATAGAGCTGCAAAATAGCAAAACAAAAACTGATATAACAGAAAGGAGAACTAGATAAATCTGTAATAATAGTTGGAGAGTTTGACGCCCTCTCTCCACAAGTGCTAGAACAACCAGGCAGAAAATCAGCAAGGATACAGAACTTACCACCACCAACCAACAGAACTGAACTGACATTTATGAAACATTCCACACAAGAGCAGAATGCATCCTTTTCAAGGGTCCGCAAACCATATCTCAAGATAGACTGCATATTCTAGGCCACAAGGTAAACCTCAGCGCGTTTAAAAGAACTAAAACCAGACGGAATATGTTCTCTAACTTCAGTGGAATCAAATTGGACATTTATAACAAAAAGATAATAGGAAAATCTCCAAGCACCTGGAAACTAATCACAAACTTTGAAATAATCCATGGGTCAAAGAGAAAGTCTCAACAGAAATCCCTAAAGAAAAAAAAAATGAACTAAATGAAAATGAAAATGCATGTCAGAATTAATAGGGTGCAGCTAATTCAGTGCTGAGAGGGAAATTTATAGCACTAAATACGTCCATTAAAAAAGAAGAAAAGTCTCAAAGTAATAATCCAAACTCACACCTGAAGGAACTACAAGAAATCACAAAATGAATCCAAAGCAAGTGGGAGAAATGCCAGAAATAAGAGTAGAAAATTAATGAAATTTAAACAGAAAAACAATAGAGAAAATCAAAGAAACAAAAGGTATTTTTTTTAAAGATCAACAAAATTGACAAACCTCTAGCAAAACTAACAAAGAGAAGGATCACTAATATCAGGAAGGAAAGAGGGAATATCAGTACATACCCGGCAAATATCAAAAGGATTGTAAGGGAACGATATGAACAACTTTACACACATAAATTTGACAACTTAGATGAAATGGACCAATCCTGGAAAAACAGAAACTAAAGCACATCCTGTATAAAATACATAATTTTAATAACCCTTTAATTATTAAGGAAATTCAAGTTACAATTTAAAACTTCCTAAAAAGAAATCCCAGATGGTTTCATGGAAGAAATCTACCAAATGTTTAAAGAAGAATTAATACCAACTCTAAGGATACTTTCCAACACTTCTGTGAGTCCAATCTACCTGATACCTAAAGCAGATAAAGACAGTACAAAAAGAAGTTCAGACCACTGTCCGTCTTGAATATAGATGCAAAAAATCTTAACATATTACAAATAGATTTCATCAGCATATAGAAAGAGTAATACACCGTGACCAAGTGGGATTTATTCCAGAGATATAAGACTGGTTCCGTACTCAATAATCAATCAGTGAAGTCCTCCATTATTAATAGACTGCTATGGACTGAATGTTGATGTCCCCCCAAAAATGTGTATGTTGAATAATGTGATGGTGTTTGGAGCTGGGGCCTTTGGAAGGTGATTAGGTCATAAGGCTGGAGGTCTCCTGAAAGGGGTTAGTGCTCTTGTAAAAGATCCCATAAAGCCCCCAAGCCTTATTCCGCCACATGAGGCTACAACAAGAGATCGGCCATCAGGAAGAAGGCCCTCACCTGAGCAGGCCAGCACCCTAAATCTCAGACTTCCAGCCTCCAAACTGTAAGAAATAAATTTTTGTTGTTTTTATGCCCCTCCATCTATGGTATTTTGTTACAACAATTTGGATGAATTAAGCCATAAACTCAAGAAGAAAAATCACATTATCATAACACTTGATGCAGAAAAAGCATTTGACTAAATGTAATACCCTCATGATAGAAGCTCTTAGACAATTAAGAACAGAGGGGAACTTCTTCAACCTGATGAACAGCTAGAGAAACCTACAACTAACTTTATACTTGATAGTGAAAGACTGCTTTACCCCTAAGATTGGGAATAAGGCAAGGATATCTGCTCTCAATATAATACTAGCAGTTTTATTTTAGAATAATTATACATAATTATATTCGGTCTATTACTGGAAGTTCTGACCAGTGCAGTAAGGCAAGAAAAAGAAATAAAAGGCATACACATCTGAAAGGAAGAAATAAAACTATATTTGCAGATGACATGACAGTCTACATAGAATATCCATAAAAGAGGGACACCTGGGTGGCTTAGTGAGTTAAGCATCCAACTCTTGGTTTCAGCTTAGGTCATGATCTCAGGGTTGTGGGATTGAGCCCCATGTCAGGCTCCATGCTTAATACAGAGTCTGCTTGAGATTCTCTCTCTCCCTCTCCCTCCCCCCACCTTGCTCCTGCCTCCTCTCTCTCTCTAAAATAAATAAATCTTAAAAAAATAAGAATACCCATAACAGAAATTATCCATGAAAAATTGATAAATTGGACCTCATCAAAATTAAAAAGCTTTTGCTTTGAGAAAAGACTGTGTTAAGAGTGAAAAGACAAGCTACAGACTTGGAGAAAATATTTGCAAATCACCTATCTGATGAAGGGCTCATACCTAGTTCATACATAAAAATCTCCCAATACTCGACAACAAGAGCAAACAATCCAATTAAATAATGGATGAAACAGTTGAAGAAACATTTTGTTGAAGAGTAAGCACAGATGGCCGATAAGTACATGAAAAGACTTAATGATTGTTCAACATCTTTAGCCATTAGGGAAATGCAAATTAAGACCAGGATGAAATATCACCTTACATCTATTAGGATGGCCAAGATTTAAAAAAAAAAAATAGTGACAACATGAAATTTTGGTGAGGGTGTAGAGAAACTCTCTCTCATACACCGTGGTGAGAATATAGAATGGAACAACCATTCTGGAAAATAGTTCAACAGTTTCTTAAAAAACAAAAAATACATTTACATTACGACCCAGCATGTGCATTCCTGAACATTTCGCCTAGAGAAATGAAAACTTATGCGCACAAAGAAATCTAAGTGTGATTGTTCATAGCAACTTTACTAGTAATAAGAACTGGACACAGCATAGAATTCCTAGCCGATGAATTATTGAACATACAATGGAAAATAATATAATATAGATGTAAACCGTAAATATGTAAGTATATAAAATATGCAAATATATAAAATATGTAATAAAATATATAAATTTTTAATATGTAATATAAACACTAAAATATGTAAAATACTACAAATATAATATAAATATAATACTAAGCATTATAAAGAAACTCTTTGAGAAGGAGGAACCCTCTTAACAGTGTTGGTGGGCATGCAAGCTGGAAAAGCCATTCTGAAAAACAGTATGGAGGTGCCTCACAAAGTTGAAAATAGAGGTGCTCTGTGACCCAGCAATCGCACTACTAGATATTCACCCCAAATCTACAAATGTAGTGATCTGAAGTGGTACCCGCATTCCAGTGTTTATAGCAGCAATGTCCACAATAGCCGGACTATGGAAGGAGACCAGATGTCCACTGACAGATGAATGGATAAAGAAGATGTGATGTGTGTGTATATACAATAGGATATTACTCAGCCATCAAAAGAAACCCCGAAATCTTGCCATTTGCCATGACGTGGACGGAACTAGAGGGTATTACACTAGGCAAAATAAGTCAAAGGAAGACAATTATCACGTTACCTCACTCATATGTGGAACATAAGAAACAAAACAGGATCACAGGGGAAAGGAGGGGAAAATAAAACAAGACAAAACCAGAGAGGGAGACAAACCATAAGAGGCTCTTAATCATAGGAAACAAACTGAGGGTTGCTGGAGGGGTGGAGGGTGGGGTAATTGGGTGACGAGCGCTAAGGAGGGGACCTGATGTGATGAGCACTGGGTGTTCTCTAACACCAATGGGTGACCGAATGCGACCTCTGAAACAAATAGTACACTATATGTTAGTTAATTGCATCTAAATTTTAAAAACTAAAAAAAATAGAGAAACTCTTTGAAATACACAACCACTCCTATGAATCTCGAGGGCATTATGTTGAGCAGGAAATTAAAAAAAAAAATCCCAAAAGGTCACATTCTGTACGATCCCATTTGTATAACATTCTCAAAATGATGGAAACTATAATCGAGATGGAAAAGAGATTCATGGTTGCTGGGGTTTGTGATGGTGGAGGGCTCAGGAGAGGCTGATCTCTCAATGGAGTAGTTCTACCTGGTGATGATCACTCTAATGGATACACATGTGACAAAATGGCAGAACGAAATACCCACATTGTACTCATGTCAAATTACGGGTCTTAATCTTGAACTACAATTGTGTAAGCTGTCACCACTGGGGGACATGGAGTGACAGAAATATGGATGCCCCTCAGGACCGTCTTTGCTAAGAATCTCTATTTTAGAGCAAAAAAGGGAAAAAAACCCATAAAAAATAAGCAAAGTATAATTCCTCTTTAATAATATATGAAAACTGGCAAAAAGTGATCTATGGTGTCAGAAGTCAAGGTAGTGGTTAGGTCGGGTAGGATGGTGACCAGAACGGGGCAGAAAAGGGACTTCTGGGCACAGATAATCTCGCATCCCTGGTCTGGGTGTTCCCTACCTGAATGTGTTCACTTTGTAACCATTCATGAGACTGAACACACAGTGTGTGCTCTTTTCTGCAGGGCTGTTATATGCCAGTAAAAATTGTCATGGGTGAAGTGAAAAAAAGCGTTTGGTTTCATGTGGGATTACCCATGTGTGGATGCAGATGAACACATTCTGGAAGGCTATGTCAGAGCAGTTGCCTTTGCAAAAGGGCGTTAGGAAGGAGAGGCATGGAGGGAGACCTCCTTTGCATTTTAAACTTTTCTATGCTGTTTGAATGAAAAAACAAATAAACAAACACATGCTATCGAGCCTCTGGGCTGTCTCTACCCAGAGGGCCAGCCTTGACCCTTCCTGCCTTCTGGTTCCTTTTGGCCTCTGGGTTGGCTCCTGTGACATCATCACTTCGTGAGGACGGGGATTTTTAGCCTCTCACCCGTGAGAGTCTAGACAGCTGTTGGTTGTGTGTGGTGAATCATTTAATCAGTCCCTGTGGCTTTTCTCCCTAGTGCAAGTGCTTTCCTGGAATGGCAGGCCTGATGGGCCCCACCCTGGGCAGATTGGCAGGCCAGTGGGTTTTTCTTTTCCTGGCCATATGGAATGCATACCTCACATGACCAGCTCATTCATTCCACTTAGACAACGCGGCCTCCCTCAAAGTCCCACATCTCCTGGGAAGTCTTGGACAGAGTGGAGAGAACATGGGCTTTGGCTAGACCGAGCCCAGTTCAAATCCTGGATAGTTCTGCAGGCGGCAAACTCCCTCCTTCCTCACCCACAAGTTGGAAACACAGTGTGAAAATAAATAAAGGAAACCTTATTTAAAATGGGAGTCTGGAAGCCCTGAAGGGCAAGTTCTCATGCATCACCACTCACCTTAAGAAGCAAACCTTGCATACCCAGGGAGAAGCGGCTTCCTTTCTGTAGCCCAGCAGGAAGAAGGAAGAATTTCTCCCTGCTCAGCAACAGCCCAGCTAATGGGAACTCAGTAAAACACCCTCCCAGCTTCCTCCTTTCTCTTATAAAACCAAGCCCCTCTATTCTGTTCTCCGGACTTGCCTATGGTTCACCGTAGTCTCCTTGTCCTGAATTGCAATTCCTGGCTATTCCCATATTTTTTTTTAATCAACAGTAGATAAGACGGTTAAGACTGTTATCAGGACTAAGTGTGACCATGTAAATAAAACACTCCTTGCAGTATCCCACACATGATAAGAGCCTACCTAATATATCGGTTCTCATCCCTGGGATCCTGTTGACCCATCCCTGCCTGTCTCACCTGAAATTGACTCCTAATACACTTGTATTAGGAGTAAAATATGCTTGCTTGTGTCTGTTTGATGCAGATTCCAGACTCAGATTTATCTGTAAACTCATGAAGGTCATGGAAGGACCCCGGGTATCCTAGACACAGTAGGTCCTCGGGAAATGCCAGCGCTGGCACAGGCTGCCTCATTCCAACGTGGATCAATTCTGCATCCACCTCCTTGAACCCTACAGATGCCCAAATCCATCGGAACTAGCCAGGTTTCAGGAGGACTTAAAGTTTCAGTAACGCAGCCAAACTCTGTACATGCCAATCCAGCATTTTTTTGCAGACCTAGCAAGCCCATGAAAAGTCGGGGCCATTTGTACAGTCCTCCAGAGCCATTTCTAGCTGTGTGATCTTGGGCGAGTCACAACACGTCTCTGAACCCCCATGTCCTTGTCCACGTATTAATACACTGCTGCAGATGGGGGTGCTTACTCCCTGGCCTCGTGAAGCTTAAGGCAAAGAGCAGTGCTGTCCCGAAGAAACAGAATGGGAGCCACATTTATATCGAATGGTCTAGCAGTCACATTCAAAAAGTAAACAGAAACAGGTGAAATATTCATATTTTTTGATCCGAATGTATGAAAGATCGTTTCAACACGTACTCCATAGAAAACTGATCGACGAGATAGTTGACATTTTTGCACTAAATCTTTGAAATTGCATGTGATTGGACGCTTCCGGCCCCTCTCACTTTGCATGAGCCTCATCTCAAGTCCTCCGCAGCCGCCCGTGACCCCATGGTGTGATCCCAGACAGCCCGGCTCCAGGCTCGCCCGTGGGCTTGGGGAAGCAGGTGCAGCTGATTGTCTTGGCTGTTCTAACAGCGCCCACCTCACTGAAGTCCTGTCCCTGCTCTGTGTTGACCAGGGCCAGCTTCTGAGCATCTCGGCGGCCTACGGTGACCTGGAGACTGTCCGGTACCTTCTCACTGAGAGACGGGTGGAGCTGCCCACCGAGCCCACCGATGACAATCCAGCTGTGGTGGCGGCTCATTTTGGGCATACTGACGTCGTGCAGGAGTTGCTCGAATCTTTGCCAGGTAAATCCCAGGCCCTGAGCTCCTTGCCCACCTCTCTGGAGTCACCTCTTCTCAGGAATCAGACACACATTTGCCGGTGGGGGTTGGGGGGCATGGGGATGGGCATGGGCTTTCTTGTTCCTTGACGCTTTCACCAAGCGAGAGAACCAGATTTCTGGGCCATCACACTGACAGTCCACAGTAAAAACTGCCACATCCCATGTCTCATTCCCTTGAGCTCAGGAGGTAAATTTTCTGATGCCATATTTGATAGAGAATATGGACCTATGTCTCTTTTTTAAAAATTTAATAGTTTTTGTCCTTAAAGAAGTTTTAGATTTTCGGAAATGTGGATGTGGAAGTGCAGAGAATCCCCATCTACCTTTTAGGTTCACTTCCTTCACCTGACGACATGCATTGAAAGTTCCTCCGTGCCTTTTTATGGCCCGGTAGCTCATTTCTTCACAAGGCATTATTACCTTAGCGGTTTGGGAGTTAGGGTTTGTTTGGGAGCATGGCCAGCGTCATGGGTGTGCAACGGTGTGGGCCCTGCCCTCAGAAGGCCCGTGCTTGGTTCAACACTCCACGGTCGCCATTTTGAAATTTTTGATATTTTTTAAACAAGGGGCTCACCTTTGTATTTTGCACTGGGCCCCACATATTATGTAGCCGTCCTGTCAGGGGTAGGGGGTTTGTCCCACAGTGTGCTTTGAGTAGATTTGTGCTCGGACTTGGTTCTAAGCCAGTGCCCCCTTCATATGTCTGGAGGGAGAATGAAGTTAAGATAGAAATCAGGATCGTGTTATGGTTCACAGGTGCATACCGGGTCCAGTGAAACACAGGAGGGCAAGGAGGAGCTTGGGTGTCCCTGAGGGCAGACTTCCTCTCTTCAGGGATCCCCAAGATTAGCTCTGTTCTAGCCCCAAAGCATCCATGCCGGCTGGCTCATGACCTAATTGTGCATTTTGAATTTACTGAACATTCATCCTATGAGTCTCTCACTATTGCCTTCCCGGGCATTCTGAAGAACTTAAGAAATACACAGACTTCTTTAAAAAGGTGATCCCAGATCTTTCATAGCTCCTGGCTAAGCAGAGACAATAGAAGCAGAAAGCCCAGTAATTCTATGTAGTGTAACCATGGTGAGGGTGAAGTATTTACACAGTGATCTGGGAGCACACATTGAGAATGGTCTTTTCTGGTCTTCATAAGGAGCTGACGTCTGAGCTGGGTTTTGCAGGGTTCGTAGGAGTTTATTTGGCAGACGAGAGAGGGAAGGGCTTCGGTCACCCACTTTTGCAAAGCAGGGAGCTTGGCTGGACATGAGCATGGTTTTCAGCTGCTTTGGGGCGTCCTATCTTCACCTCAACCAGGGACGGAGTGGCTGAGGACCAAAGGAGTCTAGGGCATCATTCTGGACCCTGCAGGAAGTGCAGAGATGGGCAAAACAGCATGTGTCTCTATGAATTCCCAAACCGGGAGGAAGGCAGCCACTGGATGAAACCAGAAGACACACAAGACACAACTTGAGAACAAGGGAGGGTTTGAGAAGAGGAGAGATGAGAGGCTCATAGGGGTAGGCACATCATTGTGTAGTTGTGGACGTCATTTCAAGTACGTCATTATCTACTGTCTGGTCTCCATAGCTGAGTGGAAATGAAGAAAGGAGGAAGAGGAAGGATGGAGACCCTAATGGGACTCTCCCAGAGTATCATTGGATTTGGGCCTCAGAAGATACGTGTGGGGTTTATACGGTTGAGAGGGCACCCTTTGGTTTTGAGTGTTTAAATCCTTTAGCTTTACAGGGTTTAAGTCTTGACTTTGTCATTTACCAACTGTGGGACTTCTGGCAAATTCCCAAACTCCTCTGAGCTCTGATTTCCTCCTATTAAAATCATGGCTATGAAATATAGCCTTAGACAACCTCCTCGGATCGGTAGACATCCATCCTCAACAGAAGTTAACAGCATGATGACTGGATTTCTCTAGATACAGTTTCAGGAAGCGAGTTGGAGATCACTTGTTAATATCTGTCGGAGTACCACCTCCTTTGAATTGTTAATTCTAGTTATCAGAGGGAGAAGAGGAGGCACTGATTTAGCATCTGCTGCAACCCAGGCACTACGCCAGGCACCCTCTGTGCTGGATTTTCATTTCTTCCATCCCGACCTCCCCCCCTGCTTCCTGATCAGTTTCCTACCATGGAGGGGAGGGTCCCTTTCTCCATGCTTGGGAGCACGTGGGTTCCTAAGGACTCCCAGCCTCTGGAAATGAGACAGGGTTATGATGCAATTGGGAAGTGGCAGCATGGAGGATGAGATCATTTTTCCGTGGCCGCTACATCCAAAAGACATTGCATTTACTTTGAACTTGAAGATACTGTAATACTTCAGCCCACGCTGTCCCTGTTCCTTCAGTGCGCTAAGTGTTATTTCCTCCTGGAATTAAGTAGGTGGTTCTTGCAGGGAGTAATTTGCAAAGTTTTAGGCTGGATAGTTAGATTGATTTCTTTCACCAAAGCCCTTTTTCTTTCATTTTTGAAAGTAATATATGTACTCATGGATAATTTAGAAATGCAGGAAAGTGTTAGTACTCTAAAAACATAATGACAAATAATGAGTTAGAATATTTTGAGCCGGGCACTTGATATACATTATGTCATGCAATCCTCACATTAAACTTGAGAGGACGAGTGCTATTACTCCCATTTTACCAACAGGTAAACTGAGTCAGGGAGAAGTTAAGAAATTTGTTTAAGATTACACAGCTAAAATATTTTAGCCCTAAGCCGCTTGTCTCCAAAGCTCATGTCCCTGTATGTAATGCTATTCTGGACATGAGGTCAGGACTGGGGATGGGGAAAGGGGTGAGGCGAATGGTCACAATCCCCACTACCGAGAGATAATACTGCAACACGGGGTAGTACCTTTTAGTCTTATTTCCACACATGCATTTTTTTACCCAGTTACAATCATACCGTATATGCTGTTGGGAATGCTACTTTTCCTCACTCGGCATTGTATGCTGAGGAGGCGGATTATTATGATATGGGAAAATGGCATATGCAATTCAGAGGGACTGTTCCGGGAAACACTACTGACTTGACAGAAGCGACTTTTGGCTGGAAATGGGACAGCTTAATATTACCAGTGGTCCGAGGTGAGATCAGGGTGGGAACAACCAAAACCCCAGAGTGGCACCTTCCTTTTATCCTGTCCTCTCCTGCCAGGTCCCTGCAGCCCCCAGCGGCTGCTGAACTGGATGCTGGCTTTGGCTTGCCAGCGAGGGCACCTGGGGTTGGTGAAGCTCCTCGTCCTGACCCATGGGGCCGACCCAGAAAGCTACGCAGTCAGGAAGAACGAGTTTCCTGTCATCGTGCGCTTACCGCTGTATGCAGCCATCAAGTCAGGTGGGTTCCCCCGTCTGTCCCGCCCGTGGGAACACTTGCAGGTTGGAGATGTTGGGACCTTGTCTTCCCCCTCCCTTCTAGCTCTTAAAACACCTGTGTAGAGACATTTGCAAATTCCATTATTTGCTCTCTCTCAAAACGTCTGCATCGTCCCTCTTTGGCCCCACTTGCACCTGCAACGGGATTTCAGTGACAGGTACCAACTGTGGCAAATGGGACCATAGTAGGAGACACTCCACAGGGCAGAGTGCCACAAAACATCTCCCACGAACAGGAATTTGCCACCTCAAAGGAAGTCATAGAGAAGGTCCACCAGCACAACGACCCTTTTCATTCCCATTTCACACATCAGCATCTGCCATTTTGGACCAGCTGCAACACACTCGGACATCTGAACGCCATTCTCTGTCCTTTAGGAAATGAAGACATCGCCATATTCCTGCTTCGGCACGGGGCTTTTTTCTGTTCCTACATCTTACTGGACAGTCCTGACCCCAGCAAACATCTCCTCAGGAAGTATTTCATCGAAGCTAGTGCCTTGTCCAGCAGCTGTCCAGGGAAAATGGTGAGTAGCCACTGCCCGTGGATAAATGGATAAAGACCAGGTGGTACATATATACAATGGAGTATTTTTCAGTCATAAGAAGGAAAGACATCCCGTCATTTTCAGCAACGTGGATGGACTTTGAGGGCATTGTGCTAAACGAATAAATCAGACGCAGAAAGACAAATACTGTATGATCTCACCTCCATGTAGAACCAGAAAAAGCCAAACTCCTAGAAACAGAGAATAGATGATTTGCCAGGGGTTAGAGGGTGCAGAAAATGGAGCGATATTGGTCATAGGGTACAAATGCCAGTTACGAGATGGCTAAGTTCTGGAGACCTAATACACAGCTCTGTGATTATAGTTAATAATACTGTGCTCTAGACTTGAAAGTTGCTCAAAGAGTAAATCTTAAAGTGTTCTCACCACTTGAAAAGAGTGGTAATTAGATAACATTATACAGGTGTTAGCTTACACTCTGATGGTAATCATTTTGCGATAAGTGTGTTGAATCAGCAGGTTGTACACCTTCAACTTACCCAATATTTTTTTAAGATTTTTCTTTTGATGTGAGAGAGAGAGAGAGAGCAAAAACAGGGAGGAGGGGCAGAGGAAGACGGAAAAGCAGACCCTCTGCTTAGCAGGGAACCAGATGCACCTGGATCCCAGGATCCTGGGATTATGACCCGAGCTAAAGGCAATTGCTTAACCAACTAAGCCACACAAGCGCCCCACCCCCACCCCACTTACCCACAATTATATGTCAATTATATCTGAATAAAATTGGAAAAATATGCAGGACATAGTTTTAGTTTTCCTTTTAATAATAAAAATAGTGTTGTATTATTCACATTATCTTCAACTTGGTTTTTTAAATTCAGCACTCTCTCATGGACTCCTTCTAGACAGATCACTGTGGCTACAACTCATTCTTTAAATACATGCCCTAAATCTATCCCATTGGTGGACATTTGGATTATTTCTGGGTTTTGCCCTTTGTTATACAACCTGTTTTTCTAGGATATTGGCTTCTGTAGATCAAAGTCCTCAAAGTGGATTTTTTGGGGAATCACTTCCCCCAAAAGCTATGGTGATTCACTTTCACCAGCATTATGTGGGAATCTCTGTTTCCACACCTTGGCCACCATTAGATGTCCAGGAGCCTTTTAATATTATCAGTCTGTTGGATGAAAATGAGATTTCCTTGTTTTGATGTCCAAACTGTTGTTATGAAGAATATCGAGCATCTTCTCCTGTCTTCATGAACTTTTTGCATCTCCCCTCACTTGAGTTGCCTGTTACTGTTTGTTGATTATTTTCCTGAAGGGTTGATCATCTCTTCCTTCTCATTTGAGAGGATCTTTTTTTGTATCTCAGACTTTAAACCTTTTTTTTTTTTAAATTATACATGTTGCCAATATTTTCCCCAATCCCTGCTTTTTCTTTTGTGATAGCAAAGATATGAGAATATGTAATCAAATCTCTTTTTTGTTCTGGTATTTGGGTTATATAAGAAGGTCATTTCCCCATCAATTTTATATAAATATTTTCCTCCTGGAATATCTCACAATTTTTTTTTCTTTTAGTTTTTACATTTTAAGCTTTAATTTTTCTGGTATTTATTTGTATGTGAGGTATGAGGGAGAGAATCTAGCTTTCATCTTTTCTATATGGATGATCAGTTATTCTAGCACAGTTTTTAAAATAAAGCTTCCTCTCCCTTCTGAATTGAGATGTCATCGTTGTTATTTTCCCCAGTATCTATCTGTATGCATTTTGGGATTCTCCGTACTGGTCCAGTGGCCTATTAATCTGTTTCTAGGTAAATGCCATCCGGTTTTGAGAACAGTCATTTCATTTAAGTCTTACAGACTATTAATGCATGTTTTCTACTTGTTTGGTTTTTTTCTTTGAAAATACCTTGACTGTTATTAGACATTTTTTCTTTCTTTTGTGCATTTCCCATGATGACTCTATTTGTGCAGCTTTCAGCTTATTAAAGAACAGCTTTCATGTTCTTTAATAAGGTTTTGTATTTTGTTTATCTTATCTATATTATTTTTTATATTTTTAATGAGATTTTACAACCTGGACCCGCCATGTTTGTGTCTTCTTTCTTGTTTCTGCCACTATATGAATTGAATATGATTCTTTTCCATTTCTATTTCTAATCCAATGTTACTGATATGGAGAAAAGCTCCTTTGTTTATTTATATTTTATCCAGACCCTTTACCAGCTTCTCTTATTAATTCTAATCGTTTTTGGAAGAGTTCCTTGAGACTTTTAGGTATATGATCAAGTCCAAATAGGTTTGTCCCTTCTTTTCTAATATTCATATAACTTATTTTATTTCCTATCTCATGGTATCACTAGGAATTTCAAAAGTTGAATCATCATGAGGATAGCAGACGTATCTCTCTTATTCCTGATTTTAAAGGTCTTGACCTCAGCAATTTATAGGCATTTGCTGTAGATTTTTGGTAAATAGACTGTTGTTAGATTTAGGTAGTTTCCGTGTATTCCTTTTTTGCTTAGGAGTTGTTATTGGGAAAGACTGCTGGATTTTGTCAAATCCCACTTTGGGAGGAGCTATTGATATATTCATGTGGCTTTTCTACTTTAACGTGTTGTTATAATGAATGATGATGATATATTTTCCTTTTCATTTATGACGTCAGACAGTTTTACTTTTTCTCTTTGGAACTTAATCAGACCAGCCAGGGATTGAGATGTTCAAGTGGTTTTGTCAAAGGACTTTTAGATTTTATTTACTTCTTTATGATTTGTTCTGTCTGTTCATTAACTTTAGCTTTTATCTGTACTAAAATCTTCATATTTTCTTCTTCAAGTATTTTATTTGTCTCTGAGTATTTTGGGGTGTTGTAGTTAAGGTAAGGGCACAGCATTGAGACTTCATGGTCTGATCTGGGTTCCGGATCTTCATCTGATAACTTTACCACTCTGTGTTTTGGTTTCCTCATCTGAGAAGTAGGAAAAAGAGAGAGAAAGTATCTATCTTGGAAGGATACTTGACAATTAAATGCGGTAATAGTTACAACATTCTAAAACCAATGCCTGGCACTTGGTAAGTATCTAACAGATGATATCTAGTACTATTGGAGTTCTTTTATTAGATTTATCGGCTTAAATATTTTTCTTTTTTCCTCTAATTTTATCTTGTCAGTTGTAGATGCAAGTCTTTCATGTGCTGTCGATTATGCTAGCTTTCTTTATCAGAATCTGAACTACACACACACGTGACATGTGACATGTACACATTTACATATTTATAAATATACATATGTATGTATATATATACATATGTATTTCCTACTTGTGATTTTTTTCTAGTTCTTCACATTATTCTACAAGTTATTGGTCTACAGGCCCGTTTAATGGCTTTATGCCCCCTTTTGACTTATTTCATGATGTCAAACAGCTGCTTTCATCCTGTTCGTGCTTCTGTCCTTAAAATTGGGATTTGTGTCTTCTTCGCTCTTCACATGGCCACCCTGCCTTCTTTTTCTTTGCATCAGGGTTGTACAAGTTTTCCCAGACATTCATCTTCAGTTTTTTCATTGTCTTAGGTGTATTTCTTTCTTTTTTTTTTAGGTTTTTTTTTTTAATTTATGTATTTGACAGACAGAGATCACAAGTAGGCAGAGAGGCTGGCAGAGGTGAGGATGGGGGGGGAAGCAGACTTCCTGCCGAGCAAAGAGCCCGATGTGGAGCTCGATCCCAGGACCCTGAGATCATGACCTGAGCCGAAGACAGAGGCTTTAACCCCCTGAGCCACCCAGGCGCCCCCTTAGGTGTATTTCTTATAGACAGCATTTAGTTTTCATCCCATCTGAGAGTGTGTCTTTGAGGAGTCCACTCGATTCACATTTGTGTGGGACCTGACATAGTCATCTATTACTCACATCTTTTTAATTATATTTATTATATTTACTGCTATTAATAATATCAATGATATTTATTATATTAATATAATATTATTTATATTAAATATGTTATTTAATATATTTATTATACTTATTTATGATATTATATTTATTGCTATTTCCTTTTAACTGTTCTCTTGTTCTTGCTGGTTTCCTAGTTTTTAAAGAATGTCAACATTCTTATCAATAGTAAACGTACAATAAATATTTAATATTCGCCTCACCTAGTAAAAGGAAATAGGGACCATGCAGCCCTTTCCTTTATATTGTGCTTGATGTTTTTCCCAACACTTTCCTACTTGATCGCTACAACACCTCGGTAAGAACTGTGGGGAACAGAATGTTTTCCTGATGAAAATATTGTGGTTTAGAGACCTCCTGTTACTTGTCCAAGGACAGCAACTACAACACAGTTATACTCAGCCCAGAACCTGAGTCTCCTGAACTCTGGGCTTTTCCCATTTCATGATTCCTGGACTATCCCTCCCATGTACATCAGTGGTTGTCACACTTTTCTGTACACTGACTCCCTGGGAACTTTTAAAAACCCCAGCGCTCAGATCACACCTGACACTAATTGAATCTAAATCGCTAATGGGACCTGCCTCAGTTTCATTTAAAAAATTCCCCAGGTGATTTCAGTGTGCAGCCGGGCTCGAGAGCCAGCGACTTTGATTTTCTTGGCTAAAGGTTAAAAGCAGAAGTGATTGGCAGCTCCGTCTGCCGTCGTTTCCACTGAGCAACATTTGCCGAGATAGAGCATGAAAGTGATCATTGCATTTTAGAAGGAGAAGACAAAGAAAAGACAATGTTACTTTTCTTCTCCTCGACCTAGAAGAGAAAATGAAATTACACTGCAGGCTGAGTCAGGAGGCTTTTTTGGGGGCTTCCCCAAAGCAGGTGGTATTCTGATTATTCATGTGAACTTCAAAGGCCAAGGGCCTTGCAGTGGGTGTGTCTGGTTGCCTGTGATCCAGAACCTGCGATAGCACATTCCTTCAGTGCTGCTGGCAGAAGACAGGGAGGCAGGCTGCCCAGAGGGACCGGGCCATCAGGAACAATGACTCAGGAAC